ATGCTTGCTCAAAATGAGAGTTCTGTGATGGAGTTAAATTCAAAGCAGTCTGCTCCTCAGATAAATAATGTTAAATTATTATTTTTATATATGAATGTTTCTGTTCAGTGCCCTGAGATGACTTCTCTTGTGACTTGGCGCTACATAAATAAACTGAGTTTATCTTGTGTCCACTCTGCTGTCATCAGATGGCGCCAGAGACAAATATTAGATTCAGTTTAAAACGTTATTTTTTTCCTCACTGTGCAGTTTTTTTTCTTTGCCTTGCAGATGCGCTTTTTTTTTTTTTTTTTTTTTTTTTGCGCACAGAGGATCCAGTCAGGCACGTGTAAAATAAATAAATAAATAAAGCAACAAATGAAGAAACAATGAAGGGCACGTTTATGTTCTTTTCCTTCCTGCTTTGGTTTGGACCTGCGGAGCTGAAACCCCGGAGAGGTGAGTCTCGGAGCCTTCAGTTTGTCGTGCGTCACGGTGCGCAGCTTAAAATCAGCTCTCCAGATGGACTCCAGAGCTGGTCCAACATCTTTAGTTTTCAGGTTTGCTTCCTTCTCTTTGCTGTTCCTGAAGCAGAGTTAAGTTTTTGTGGTGATTTCTGGCTCTTTTAGCCCTCGCGCGCAGGTTTTCGTGTTTGGGTGCAGTTTGCGCCTTTTCTCACCAGTGAGGACAAAATCTTGGTTCTCAGATAAAAACTGGTTTCATGTTGGACCCTCAGGCTCCGGGGTGGTTTGTACCTTCAAAGACAAAACGTTCAGCCCAGGAGACAGCTGGCATCCCTACCTGGAACCGTTTGGATTCATGTTCTGCGTGCGCTGCGTCTGCGCAGAGGTATCCAAAACGATCCATTTAGTTCCTCGCTGCGTTTGGTTTAATTTGTTTTGCATCAAGTTCTGACACGAGTCCTTCTCAGACAGGTCATGTGAAATGTAGCACAATCAGGTGTCCTGCCTTGCCTTGTGAGGACCCGGTGACAGAGACTCAGCGGTGCTGTCCGAGGTGCACAGGTTAGTTGGACCGTCTGCAGCTTTACGCGCAGAGACAGACCTCACAGCCTGTCCTCCTGTCCCATGTGCCCTCCTTCAGATGAGCCCAGGATCCCCGCAGGACTCAGAGCCTCAGCCAGGTTCTGCAGGCACAATGGAAGCGTTTATCAGCCCGGAGAGACCTTCACCAAACACGACCTGTTCCCGTCCAGGCAGAGCAACCAGTGCGCCATGTGTACCTGCTCCGTGAGTCCCAGAACATGTGCTCATTTACTCTTGTTTGCTTCTAAAGTCAAGTAGTTTATTTGTGCTTGTAAAATAACAAAAAAGGGGAATAAGGTGAAACTAGAAAAATGTTATTTCCTGTGAAAATGCAGCGTGAACGCTTGTTGCTGAATGATTTCAGCTGAAAGCTGCTGAAAAGGTTTAAAGTGTAAATGAGGATGAAAGCAGCAGATAAGAATAGAACAGAGAGAGGCTGAGATGACAAAAATCTGAAATTAGAAAAAACAAAAAAAGTAGCAAAACTGAACTGAAATTGATAGAAAAGGCTAAAAAAAAGGAAGAGCTAAAATGAACAAAGAAGCTTGAAAGAGCTAAAGAAAGCTGAAATTAGTCTAAAAGGAGCGTAGAAAGTTGAAATGTTTCATGAGAATCACAAAAGGCAGAAATTAGGTGAGAAAAACAAACAAATAAAAAAAGTAGCTGAATAAGCTGAAACAAACTGAACCAGAACAGCAGCTGAAATGACCAGTAACAGGTTGTAAACAGCTCAAAGCGTTTGAAGGATGTGAAGAGCTCCACTCATTTTCAATGTGACTAACATGGCTGACAAAGCTAAATATTTAAAAAAGGAAAAATTGCACAAATACCAAAAGTCAGAGCAGGAATGTCGTGAATGAGCCGAACGTTTTGAGACATGAAATGTTGAAAAGAACAAAAACCGAGGAACGAGTTCAGTGCTGGAAAAATGTAAAGAAAAACTGATCTGAATCAGAAACTTTCAGACTTTAAAGAGTAAAAAATATGATTTGTCATTAAATACAATTATCCTCTTTAGTGAGAATAGCTCTTTTTTTCACTGAAACACAATAACTTTAATGAAACCTCCGTGCCCGGTCTTCTTCTGCTGTTAGATTGATTTAACATTAAACTTTTGTGCTTTATCACCACAAAAAGACTGCAGCTCTGTGTAGTTTAAACAGTCAAGTATCAAATTTAAAAACTGTAAAATGCTTTTAACAGTCTTTAAACGCATCAGTTCATTGAACAATACCAGGGCTGATATTGTTCAGTAAAAGAGGGGAACACATTTTATTTGTAAGGTTGTGTAAATAATATGTAGTTTGTTGTGAACAGGAGAGAAAAGTCCCAATGAATTCAGAACTGAAGCCCATAAACTGATTTTTACAAGGCCACCTGATAATGCATTAAAACAATAATTATATGTTTGTTGCATCTTCTATAGTTTGATTTTTATGTCGCAGAAGAAAAAAGAAAAAACGTTCTTGCTATGGATTATTCTAAAATCTTGTTTTATTTTATTTTTCTGAGCCACGGATTGTGTTTTTAATAATAATAATTATTATAATAATGCATTTTATTTGTTAGTGCCTTTCAAGACACCCAAGGACACTTCACAACATTAAAAACACAAAATAAAACAATACAGAATGGCTTTAAAAACACTAAACCAAGAAGAAAATAACAAAAAATTAAAATGAGAAGGCTAACTTGAACAGACGAGTTTGGAGTTGTGATCTGGGGAGCAGAGTGAGAAAAGGCTCAGTGTCCCGTGGTGCTGAGGCGGACGAGAGGCACGTTGAGGTGGATGGAAGAGGAAGAACGAAGGGAGCGTGAATGGGTGATAATGATCGGACAGATAGAGAGCGGCGAGGTTATGGATGGCCTTGAATGTGTACAACAGGATTTTAAATTGAATTCTGAAAGTGACTGGAAGCAGTGAAGTTGCTGTAAAACTGGGGTGATGTGGTGAAACAAGGGGGTTTTGGTAATGAAGCGAGCAGCTGAATTTTGAACCATTTGAAGTTTAAGAAGTAATTTTTGCGGCAAACCAAATAGGAGAGAGTTGCATTAATCAATTAAATGCCCAAACTAAGGACCAGTATGGAAGCAGAGTGCGGGGAGAGGGATGAACAGAGACAGTTGATGTTTCGAAGGTGAAAGTATGCAGACCAGGTGATATTATTGATGTGAGAGTGAAAAGTGAGAGTGCTGTCAAGAATGACACCCAGACTCTTAACGTGAGGGGAGGGAGAAACCATGGCGCTGTCAATGGTGAGGGAAAAACTGTTGACTATAGATATGGTGGATTTAGTGCCGATGAGTAGAAACTCTGTTTTATCACTGTTTAATTTAAGGAAGTTAGATGTAAACCAGGATTTAATTTCAGCTAAGCAGGAAGTGAGGGAGGAAGTGAAGAATTAGGTGCAGTGGATTAGAAGAGCTGGGTGTCATCGGCAAAACAATGAAAGTGAATGTTAAATTTACGGAAGATATTGCCAAGGGGGAGAAGGTAGATGATGAAAAGAAGGGGCCCCAGCACAGAGCCTTGGGGCACACCTGAAGTCACGGGGGAGGAGTAGGATCTGAATGACTTAAATTGGATGGACTGAGTGCGTCCAGAGAGATATGACTGAAACTAAGCGAGGGGTGTATGGGTGATGCCAATAGATGAATGTCTGCGGAGGAGGATGTTGTGGGAGACAAACATCGCACTAAGATCGAGGAGGATGAGGAGAGAAAGTAAACCAGAATCTGCTGCCATGAGAAGAGTGTCAGTGATTCTAAGAAGAGCAGATTCTGTGCTGTGACCGGGGCGGAAACCAGACTGGAACTGTTCGTATAGACTGTTTTTGGTTAAATGGAGGTGGAGTTGAGAAGCAACAGTTTTTTCCAGAATTTTGGAGATGAATGGAAGGTTAGAAATAGGGAGAAGATTATTGATTGATTATTGACTGATTCTTTTCTTTTCCCAGAATGGAAACATCTTCTGTGCATTGAAAACATGCCAGCCCATCACCTGTCCCTCCCCAGTACCTGTTGCAGACACCTGCTGTTTGGTGTGTAAAGGTAGTTCAGCTCCAGCAGCGTTTTCTTTTGTTTCCATCCTGGAATAATTAAAAAAAATGTAGATTTCAATGAGCCATGAGGCTGATCCAGTTTTTAGGTGAAATCATTTCAATGTATAGAATGTAATGAAATATTTAAACAGGGGCGTACCCAGAAATGGGGGGGGGGGGGGGGGTGCACGTGGGGGCCAAAAACCAGAACAGAATTTGTTATGTGATGCCATTTGTCAGTTATTTGATTAATAAAACAATACAGCAGTTGCAGAATCACCTTCTCATGTACAAGAGTCTACTTTAATTCGTTTTTATTTGTTTATTTTCAGATCATATTACTTGTTGAAAAAAAATGGTCAATTAAAATTTATATTTTATTTTAAAAATATGCTTATAACCTCCTGAACGCTTGCATGCAGATGCTGAGGATATTACATTTGTAGCAGTTGTTCTTATTCATGTGGGACTAGAATTTAAGTTTTATTTTAATTTTCAAATATTTGTGTTTTTTAACTCCTCACTGTTTAAAAACAGTTTATTTTTGTTTATTTTTATGTGGTTTGACTAACCTTAAATATCATGGGGAAATTAAAAATACACACCAAGCAAAAGCTCAAGAGCATTAAACTGTCTGGTCAATGTAGGCACCATTTTATAGGGGTGGCCATTACCCCTGCTGCCCCCCCTTTGTGACGCTCCTGTATATAAAAATCTGAATCGATGCTAAATGAAGGTTAAAGAAAAAAAGTCAACAAATCAAGTGAATTCTTTTTAAATTAACAAGTTAAGAAGAAGAACAGATTAGCACCCCCTTTTTATTCTTTCTCTCGTTCTTTTGATTGAAGATGTTGGTTTGTTTCTGTAGATCACGGCAGCAGTGGGTTGTCGTCAGCGGAGGATGGAAGCCAGCAGCTGAACAGAGGAGTTGTACGTTCCTCACTCTTCTTCATGCTAGATTAACGTTTGCAGTTGAAAGTGCCACTTTAAAGATAAATTTAAGTATTGTGGGAGAACTGCTTTAGTCGCTCTAAATACAACATCTGGAGTCGAAAAGGCGAGTAGACGGATCCTTCGGTCGTTAAAACAGCTTCACTTTTTAACCAGATGTGTTGCTGAACAAATGATTTATGTTGTAATCCTTAAATTACTACAAGCTCTGTGGAGCGTTGGGTTCAGATTTTGTCCTTATTGTCCCCATCGTGGAGCGAAGAAGGAGAAACGAAAATTAGACTCAGCCCATCTGTGAATGTTGTGAGCATAACGTAAAAAATAAATGAGGTACTGACTTCCATATAGGTGTGTGGCGAAATGTGTAGGAATCTAAGTGTTGGAAAGGCTCCTTTCAAAAACTGGGTTGCCATGTTAAAAACCAAAATGTCTGCCATCATATATGTATATACAGAGTGTTTATGTGTTAACGTTGTGAGCTGGATAACTTGGAAAATAAGCGACGTGCCAACTTTTATTTTAGCGTGTGGCTTCATCAGAAAAGTCCATAAAATTAGGTTGCCAGGTCAAAATCCAAGATGGCCACCTCCATGTAAATATGTAAACCAACCACTTCAGTTTGAGTTTGAGACAACTATACTTTCTAATTTTTATTTTGCCTAAAGTTATAATTTCCTCAAATGACTGGGGTGACCAAAGATTAATCTTTGGGGGGCAAGGCCACCATTGGCCACCCCCTGATTCCCCAGTTGCGCCTCATGGTGGATAAAATTCCTCCCTTTATAGCAGGATCTGTCAGTCTGTGGGTCCATGAACATGAAAAAAAAAACATAATTTTAACACCTTGCATGAAAATCATTCAGGTTTTCTTGCATTCTCTTAGTTCCAGTCCAGAAAAAACACTCATCTACAGACTGTTTTTAATGATTTCTGGTCTTTTTTGGTGGGACGCTCCCCAAGCTGATGCGATAAGTAACTGTCTTTTATTAACTCTCTGTTTCTGCCAGAGGCATTCGGTGGATCAGTGTTCCACCGAGCCGAACAGGGTGCACTCGGACAGTGCCACCCCACCCAGGATCAAGGCCTCGCCCAGGGCTCCGACCCTCGGTAAACTCAACCTCCGAGGGTCTTCGGAGACCACCGTGAAGTTCCTGCTGCAGAGGAAACACCAAAAAGGTGAGACTTAGTCCAAATAGGGATGATACTCCGAGTTATTTCGTTTTACGGGGCACGTACCACACACGTTTACGACTGTTTGCCGAGCAACACTCAGCTGTTTGCCATTTTCTCTCAGTGTGTTTATACAACGGCAGGACGTACTCTCATGGAGACATGTGGCATCCAGTTTTGGGGAAGGTCCTGGAATGCATCCTTTGCACTTGCACCGACGGCCTCCAGGACTGCAAACGCATCATGTGTCCCGGCCAGTATCCATGCAAGCATCCCATAAAAACAGCAGGGAAATGCTGCAAGACGTGTCCAGGTAGCTGAGGGGGACTCGAGCTCTTTGATTGATTTAAAGCAGACTGGATGGAAACTTTATCCTTGAAACTCTTCTGTGTTTTTATTTCTCTGCTCCAGACAGTAAGGCTGACATGAACCAGACGCGGTGCTTTTCTGGGTACAAAAACAACCTCCTGGTGTATAAAGTCGAGTCGTCTCTGACACTGAATCCACCCAACTCCATGAGGATCATCGCTGTTCAAAGACAGAGTACGGCTGAGGTTGAGGTGCAGGTGTGGAGCGCCGCAGAAGGTGAAGGCCTGTTTGAGGGTCTGTAAAGAGCTTTACGGAACCACGATTTGTTTATTTTTTTAAAGATGGACGTTCATGTCTTTACAGGTGTTTTACAAATCATGGAAGTTGGTGACGTTCTAAGAAAAGACATTACAGACCATCCGGAAAATTACAAACTTCTCACGACGCTGGATGAAGGTTTGTTCTAATTTAATTTATTTTGTGGTTCTTTTGGCGACAGATGTTGAGAAATTAAAGAATCCATGCTGGGCCATGCCAGTTTATTTCCTAGGATAGATAAAAACCTGACAGAAAGATGTCATTTGTTGGTTTGTGGCCATGCGTGCAGTTTACATTTCTTTATATATATATATACATATATATATATATATTTTAAAAATGTGAAACTCTAAGTCTGGGTTGTGTACCATAATTTCCGGTGTATAAGTCACATCAGACAAAAAAAGCACCATGAAGACGAAAAAACATATACAAGTCGAATTTATTATGCGTTTATTTAATTGTCAAAACAGCTTCATTTCACCTGGCAGTGCAGAGTCATCCATCCATCCATCCATCCATCCATCCATCCATCCATCCATCCATCCATCCAT